CCAAAAGGGATTTGGATTGGTGGGTTGTTGCAGAAGATTTTTTAGATCAAGTTTTTCTTTTTGGGGTAAATTAAAGGTAAATGATGGATTTTTGGGTTTTTGGTTTACTTTTCACTTGTTTTCGTTTCTTGTCAGTTTCTTATGCGCCCTTGTTTCTATGTGGTGCTCTGATTTTTCATGCTTTCTCTGTGATGCTTTGATTTTTCATGTAGCATCAGTAGCTCTGTAAATCTCCGCTTTAATCTTTTTTTATTTTTCATTTCCCGTTTATTCATGCAAGATCTCTGATCAAATACGCTACAAACCTAGAACAATATCTGAACTTTGATATTATTGATCGAATGTGATTGACCCTATAGTAATCAATGAAACTTTAGAATTTAGATCAATGGATTGATTGTTTATGACTAGTTGTTGTTCCTTGTTAGGAATGCACATTATTCCTTACTCAAGTAGCTATTCCTTACTCAAGTAGATATTCCTTCTTAGGAATGCAACTTGGAGCATTATTGTGGTAACAAAATTGCTATTGTTAGAAGGCACTGCTTTCTCTTCCAGCAGGTTAGCAGTGGAATTTAGAACTTGGGGGTAAGAACCAAGTTGCTTTGAACCCATATGTGTTTACTGGATTGCCTTGTGAATACCAACAGGAACTGGAAATCTTGCCAACCAGGTAAATGTCTTGGCATCACAAGTTTAATAGAGTTGGGGTTATGAATTTAAATCCATTTTTAGGTATTATTATGTTTCTTTTGTCGTGGTTTTTACTATTTCATTGCATTGACTTGGGTTGTTATTTGGTTTAAGCAATGAATCTAGTTTAACTATTTTGATTGACATGGAGTATTTGCATGATTGTTTAGTGGAATTGGCTCCTCTTTGGGTGTTGCCTTTCTTTAGATTTTTGATTTATAGATGAATTCTTATTTATTCTTTTCATTATTTCCTTCTTGAATTCAGTGGAGCCATTTGGTCTTGCTTTTCATGGCAGAATTGATGTGTAGTTCACATAAAACAAGAGTATGCAAAGTGATTGGTTAAATTCATCTCTAAAACAGCTTCCATATAGAAGTTCTATTGGGTACTTTTTTTCTTCTTTATGTTTTAATGTTGTTACTTTTCTTATTAAATATGGTTAATTATTAGTATGATGAAAGTTTCAACTGCTATTTCAAGGATAATAATCAGGGAACCAATTGACTGAGAGCTGAATGGGCCCATGAACTTTTGTCTTCTCAATGGGAAAACATCCCCTGAACTTCATCTCCTAAAAAGCATTAGCAAAGTTCACAATCTTGTTGTTGTTAATCAGTATAAAAACCATTTTCAGGACATCTTATGGCTTGATTGTTCTCTCATTGTATACAAGGTCCTCTTTACCCTTGTGCTTTTTGCTATCAAGTTCTTCTTTCTTGCAATGGTATGCCAATGTGAGATATAGTAACATGTGTCGTAGATCATTGTGGAAGAAGACTTGCTTAATGAGGTGTGGTCTGCTTGAAAAAGTTAGATTACTTTGCTACTATCTGATGAAGAATCAACTCTTAGGCTAGATCCACTAGAAGGTACATCGATAACTGCACTACTGAATTTTACCGTCTCCTTGTGAAGCCGAAAATTTGTTGAAGAGATTCTTATGCGGTTGATTTTTTTTCTCCTATAGTAGTTGCCAAAATGGATGGGGCATTAGAAAGATCAGTGCTATTTAGTCTATATAAAGATCATTTACATCTAGTTCATATACAGGAAATGCTTGCATGGAGGTCCTGAACATTGAGATTGAATACCATAGTCAAGCTGTCATGAAAGATCTTATCTTTTGAAAAACACACTTGATAGGTATGTCCAATTACTTTTTTCACGTAGAGGTATTTGCCCACTGATGTTTGCGATGTACTTGTTGTATGATTATAGAGACAAATGTAAGTATTTGCAAAAATATGCATGTTTATGCACATGATCAAGTGATCAGAAGCTTCTGTAGATGATATATGTGTGATGACTTTAGGCTCTTTATGGTCTCTACATATCGGTGACTTTAGGCTCATTATGGTCTCTACATACCGGTGACTTTAGGCTCTTTATGGTCTCTCTCTCTCTCAATCGCTCTCTCTCTCTCTCTCAATCCAACGTACTTTACTTTCAATTGATATTTTATCCCAAAAATTAAAATTCCAAAAATTAATAAAAAATAAATAATATCTAGGTCTCAATTTAAATCCAATACAGATACCCAGAACTTCTCAGTCTTTCAGCATGTTATCAAACACATATACTTAGAACTTACTTAACATTCCAGGAGGTTATCAAACACAAAAACTCAGAACTTCTTACAATAACTTCTTTCTTCCCAGCAAAGAGGAACTTTACAGTTCATGAACTTGCTTCCGGTTATCAAACAGGCCCTTAGAAAGAGTGAGAGGTAAACAAAGCCATCTCTCTCTGGAGAGAGAGAGGTAACTCGTCATCCCCATAATTTGTTTTTCGAGATTGGGTCATTGAAGCTTTGGTCTTCACCCACACTACCAGGTAACAACCCCATTTTTTTTTTCCAATTTCTTTTCAATAGTTTCGTTTCATTATTGAATGTACTTTACTTCATTAAATACTATTTTGTTTATTGTTTTTGTGTAGAAATGGATTTCATTTTTTGAAAAATGGTGCTCTAGGAAGAAAAAAATCCTTTCTCTTAGCCCTTTGGGCAAGCAAATTGATTATTTTCGTTTTTATTATTTTTACTTTTTTTTTGCGAAATTCATTTAGGTTATATTTTTCTTCAAAATGAGGGCAATGGACTCTTTTCTTTCCCTTAAAAACCTGCAATTTAAGCCTATCTAACATTCAGGTTGTGATCAAACCTGTAATTCAAAGGTACTCTTTTTCTTCCTTTCATAATATGTAACAGTTTGGATGTGGACTGAGTTATAGAGAGGTGAACCCAAAATTCATCCTCTATTTTAAGCATTGAATGAAAATAATATGAGCCCATACAAAATCAACCAAGTTGGCTGGGACCCGGGCTTCCTTGGTTCCGGATGGTTCCGAACCCAGGAAGTGCCCTGATTGTTCAGAACCGGGAGGTTGAGTACATTGAACTCCCAGTTCACTGTAGCACTCAACTATTCCTCAATCCCAGGCAATTGCTTTTCTTTTTCTTCATAATTTTTTTTTTCCCAAAGGGTCTCACTCTGGCAAGTACCTGAGTTGGCACCAGTTCCGGCTTTCTAACCACCGTTTATAAGTACCCAAATCAGAACTATGATTTTCCATCCCCAACTCTTTTTATCTTTTCCCTCCAACAGCTATCTTTGTGACAAAAGGATTCATGAGAAGATCACTCCATATTCCTCCATTTGTTTGTTAATTTGTTTATTTGGATCGGTTGGCATTGATGGACTGTGAGGAATTACTAGGAGCTCACCCACATGTTTTGCTTGTCTTAGACAGGTAGTCCTTTGTTCCATTACCAGCACTCTTTAAGAAGCACCATAGATTGGAATTGCTCCTTTGAGAAGGTTCAACTGTGAAGTTCTAATGAGATCCATTGCTATGGTGCTTTTTAATCGCAACCACGGATTTGATATATCTAAATTTTCTCTCGAAAGGTTCTTCTCTATCAGACCAGATAATCGAACTCTGTCAAGCTCCATAGTTTCACACTATGCCATGGATAGTGTGGCTGTTTTTTGGGATTTAGACAATAAACCCCCCAAATCAGTCCGCCCTTATGATGCAGCCATTAGGCTCAAGTTAGCAGCTTCTGGCTTTGGGGTAGTGAGATATTTGGTGGCTTATGCCAATAGGCATGCATTTAGCTATGTTCCTCCTATGGTTAGGGAACAGAGAAGAGGGAGAAACTTATTGAACAAGTTAGAAAATAGTGGGGTCAAAAAGTCTCTAGAGCCTTGCATGTGCAAAGTTTGTGGGAGAAAGTTCTATTCAAACGAGAAGCTTCTCAACCACTTCAAGCAATTACATGAAATGGAACAGAAGAAAAGAACGAACCGGCTTGAATCTTTGAAAGGGAATAGAAGAGTGAAATTAGCTGCGAAAATGGCTATGAAAATGGAGAAATATAAGAGAGCGGCCAGAGAGATATTGGTTCCAAAAGTGTATGGACTGGCTGGCGATATTAAACAAGCCGGGTTTTGGGTTAGGACCGTTTCTGATCGACCCGAGGCAGCTGATATCGCATTGAGGAATCATATGTTGGAGACCATGGATCGGGGGCTTAAGTGCTTGGTTCTTGTTTCTGATGACTCTGATTTTGTGGAAGTTTTAAAAGAGGCAAGGTCTAGAAATGTTAAATCAGTTGTTGTTGGTGATAATATAACTGGGGTTTTGAAAAGATACGCTGATAAAGCCTATATGTGGAGGGATATTACATCTGGGATAGCGCGAAAAGAGGCGGTATCAGCTGTTGGGCAGTGGGAAGATCGGGATATATTGAAGAAGCTTGAATGGAAATACAAATCAGAGCTTGGTACTGGTGATAGTGAGGATATCAAAGTAGAGTTTGGAGATGAAAATATTGAAGACATGGGGTCTGATGATAGTGATAGTGAGGATATTGAATTGGAAGTTGGAGATGAAGGCAGTGAAGAGATGGAGTTTGAAGAAGATGAGAAGATAGGTGCTAAGGTAAATGCTCGACCCTGGTGGAAATTGGAATTGGATTCAAACAGTGAACACTCGACTGCGAGACCATGGTGGAAATCTGAATCGGACTCAGACGATGAACGCCGTTGATTTTGTAAGAATTCTGTCTTTAATTTGTTCTATTCTTTTGGGGAAAGTTTTGAGTACGAGCTGATTCTTCCATGTCATCCAAACTGCATGCTATATTTCTTCTATGAAAGTATATACAAAACTCTCATCGAGTTATTAATTATCTTTTATTGGGTTACTAAACGGTAAAAAAATTTCATCATCAATTCGAAGAAACTTCCTTTCATGAATTATTAACTTGGTGTTGTTTTTGCTTGATAATGAATTTGGGTGTAGTCTGGCCAACTTGATGTTCTTTTCAAAGTTGGTATGCCACCAACCTTTCAGCTTACCTCATTCATATAATTAATTTGATCATTGACTTCTTGAGTTCTTGTAATTATTTAAGGTAAAGTTTATATAGAGAAGAGGCTCTAAACAATCAAATTTGAGCCTATTTCACTAGAAGAGGTTGTTTTGATGCCCAAATATCCTCAAATTAATCATCTCGACATCAAGATGCATAGACATGAAAAAAAATAGATTTCAAGTTTTGAAAATAGTGTATTTTGTTACTCATTTTTGAACCGTCAATTTTCAAGATTTTAAAACTTTCATAGATCTATCGTTCTACATTGTTTTTGAAGCTTTAAACTTTATAAATAAAGGTGAAATATTTTAAGGCTATCACAATGATTTTCAGTATTGAAACTATATATGTATATATATATATATATATGGTGGTGATTTTATGCAACTGTTGTATAGTAGTATGATGCAACAACATTACAACATCATGTTAGGGCTATTTGTTTTGTTTGATACAAATTTTAAAATATACACTTTTTTTATTCTAATGAACAATCACAAAAAATAAACATTTGAAAATGCAACCTCGAAAGTATTTTTTTAACCCATTTAACATAGGCCGTCTATTTTGATAAGATGATTATATCGATGCTTTGGAAGGATTTTTTTCTTTTCCAATTTTTTTAGATGGCTTTATTATTAGATGAACAATGTTAAAAAAGAAAATGATTTTGAGTTTGCAAATACAAAGGCCTTGAAATTCACCAAATGAATGGTCTAGATTTGTTGTTGGAGGGGACTCATTTTGACCACATCTAGAGTTCAAATCAAACTTTCGTTTTTTTGGGATTGATTATTGAGATGAAAATAGTGTGTGCAAAATTTTGGATCATAAAAATACCACAAACATGGTTGTTTAGAAGTGTGTTTGTGTTATATTATCATACAACCGTTGCATGTGATCACTGCTTGTTTGATACAAATTTTATATTTAGGGCGGTGATCTCATGCAACGGTTGTATAGTAATGTAATGCAACAACATTCAAAAACCATGTTAAGGCTATTTGTTTGATACAAATTTTAAAGTATACACTCTTTTTATTCTAATGAACAATAAGAAAAAAGAAAAATTTGAAAACTCAACCTCGAAAGTATTTTTTTGGCCAATTTAATATAGGTTGTCAATTTTGATAAGATATTTAGATCGATGCCTTAGAAGAATATTTTTTTTCCAAATTTTGTAGATGGCTTTATTATTATTAGAAGAACAATGTTAAAAAAGAAAGAAATAATTTTGATTTTGTAAAGATAGATTTTGAAATTCACCAAATGAATGGTCTAGATTTGTTGCTGGAGGGGACTCATTTTGACCATATTTAGGGTTCAAATTGATTTTTTTTTTTGGGATTGATTATTGAGATGAAGAGAATATGTGTGTAATATATATATATATATATATATATTTGTCACATCTGCCTTGCTTTTTGTCACATCTTCCTTGCTTTATGTCATATCTGTCTTCAAAATACTATCGAAAAGGATGAAGATAAATCTTTGGTATGTTCATTAATACAGAGTATGTTTTTGGGACATTCCATGTCCTGATTGGTCTGGTGTGTCAGGTGGCACTTTTATTTCAGGAGTGCTGGCTGTACCGGATGTATCATGTATTTGGGCAGTTTCTGCCTCTTCTTCGAACATTTTCATTAATTGTTTTTCTAATTCTTCCTTGGTGGCTTTGGGATTTTGCTTTTTCATTATGGTAATGTATTCTGCCAGACTATTTGGGTTGGAGTATGAATGTGAGCCATATGTTAAGGGGATTTGTTGTAGCTGTATATTGTCTGGTTCAATATTATGGTAGACAAAGACGTCCTACCATTTGATGGCAATTTGTTTGCCTAAACATGGCATATATTCAAAATTATTAGTAATATTTGGGGATATCACAAAATTCCATTTGACGATCCATGATATCTGACACATAGCAATAAAATATAAATGGTAGTCTATATTGGGATCACTCCCAAACGATTTTGAGAAAGTTACAAAGGTTTAGGTAGTATTTGTGTTAAAGAAACCCATGTTGCAAACCAGTTACGGAACCAGTTTGGAAATGGAGTGGTTACAGGCATTTTGAACTGTAGGAACCAGGTGTGAGAATTATATGGGTTTTGGAGTTTCAGTATCTTATGCCAGGCATCAATGTAATCAGCATGTCTGTAATATTTATTTGGGAATTCTGGGGAATATAATCTCTTTGCTTTGGAAGGGTTTGATCCCCAATCTTTCAAAGATAATACCTTTCGTATTTGCAATTTTGAATAAGCTATTATTTTTGAATTTTTCTGATTATAATGCACCAAGGAAATGGATTCAGTTTCTAACAGAATTATTTCATACCATTCTCTTGTTTTGGTACCAACAGATGGACAGAGGTTATTGCACAAGTAGTTCTTAGCAACAATATTTGGGTTGTCAGACACATGTTTGGTTTCAATGATTGCATCAACAACAAAATAGGTTTCAAGATATTGAGATTTGCCTGGTAAAGTTGGTTTCTTTGGTGTAGGTGTAGATGTTTGAAAAACTGGAGCTGGAGGAGAAGCTGGAGGTTGGCTTGAATAGACCGGGTAGTTGATATTTGGGGAGTAAGAAATGAGACTATTACCGGGTAACAAAGTAGGTTCCATTCTTATTGTGATTGGGTAATATTTACTGAAATGATATCCAACGAAGTTTCCATAGGGGCTTTTCCCATTTGTTCAGAAGTAGAAGTATTGTTATTCTTATTCATATGGGTATAACACAAAGTTAGTGGAAAAGACAGAGCTGGTGGATTAAAATGATCAGTGTTGCCCCCCTGCAAAAATTCACGAGTAAGAAAATTAGGGAGATGGTTAGAAGCACCTTTCAGGTGTTCAATGGAAAAATCAAAAGATGATAAGATCGCCTGCCATCGAGCAAAGATTGGCTTAGAGACAAGGTTTTGCACATCCTTAGTGAGAATATCAGTGGCGGCTTTGCAATATGTTCTAATAAAAAAATGAGTATTAAGAATATCACTCTGGAATTTCGTAACACAATGAACAATCGAAAGTATTTCTTTTTTCACAGTCGAATAATTTTGTTTGAGTAGAATTCCAAGCTTTAGAGGTATAACGTACTAATTGTTCGGTAGAATGAAGACGTTTTAAGATACCTCCTAAGCCTAATTCAGAAGCATCACATTCTATGATTTTGAAGGCATTGGGATTAGATAAATTTAAACAAGGTAATTCTTTAGCTTTGATTTTTATTTTCTTTACAGCCTGAGTATGTTCATCCGTCCACTTGGGAGGATTCTTTTTGAGTCTTTCATATAACGGTTTAGCATCTATTGCTAAATTCTTATAAAAGTCTATTATGTAATTTAAACATCCTAAAAATCTTTGTAATTCTGTTTTGTTTAAAATAATTTCAGGAAATTTATCAGCAAATTGAATAGATCTTTCAATTGGTATGATTGTACTATAATGAAGATGATGACCTAAAAATCGTACTTTTGTTTGAAAAAGATTTATCTTTTTGGCAGATACTACTAGGCCTGCATTTTTGATTGCATGGATAAATGTATGAATATGTTTAAAATGTTGGTCTATAGTATTAGAAAATACTAAGACATCATAAATATAAACTATCATAAATTTATAATATGGATTAAACACTTAATTCATTATTTTTTGAAATTTCGAGGGAGCATTTTTGAGTCCAAATGGCATTACGTTCCATTCGTATTGTCCAAATGGAACATTGAATGCAGTTTTATATTTATCATCTTCTTTGATTTGTATTTGCCAATAACCAGATTTTAAATCAAATTTATAAAAGATTGTAGCAGTAGCAAGTCTATCTAGTAAGTCTTTTTTATTAGGTATTGGATATCTAATCTATTGTTGTAAAATTTTATTCAGAGGTTTATAATTTATTACTAACTTTGGTACTCTTTTTTTTTTTTCAGCATTTTTATTTACATAAAAAGCAGCACAGCTCCAAGGAGATGCACTTGTCCTTATTAGGTTTTTTCTTTGTAATTCATTAATTTCTTTTTTACAAAATTCTAATGAGGTTGTATTCATTTGTACAGGTCTAGCTTTTGTAGGAATTTTAGTTTCTTCAAATCCTTTTTCATAAGGTAATCCTACTATATGTTTCTTTCTTTCCCAAAATGCATTGGGAAGATCACTACATATTTCGGTTTCTATCTGGGTTCTAAGATTATTAATTTTTGTTATTAAGTCGGGTTTTTCCAAGTCTGTTTCTATTTGTTTATATTTAATTTCTATTTTAAGGGAACATAAAAACTTTTCTTTATTGTCTATTTTATCTTTGATTCTATTGATTGCTTTGAGCCTTGGTTTTTCTAAAAATTCAAACTTGATTGTTTATCCTGCTCTAGATGTTTCGAGACCTGTATTATTTATTGTTATGGGATAAAGTAATGTTAAGAAAGGAATTCCCAGTATTACTGCCTGACTTAAATTCTTTACCATAATAAAAGGTGTTGGGAAGCAATGTCCATTATTGCATACCATGACACTTGATAATTTATATTTAATAAATAATCTACTACCATCAGCAGTATTAAGTATTTGAGTGGTTTTATCGAAATATTTGGATGGGACTAAACCTTCATTAATACAATTTAAATCTCCACCAGAATCTACTAAAGCTAATGTTTGAAAATTATATTCCTCTTGGATGACAATTTTTACTAATATAAACCATTTTTGTGAAATAATTTTGTTTACTAAATTTACAGATATATTATCTCCAACTTCTTTTGTTCCTGAGGTTTCTGGTTCTATATGGTTAGTATCTACTAGTTGATCAAATTATATTTCATCTGTATCAGTTATGGTTCCTGATATGTCATTTTGTAACTCTAATATTTTGATTCTAGTATTTAGTTGTCCTACTTTTGTTTTTATTTCATTTACTTCTTTTTTTAATTCAGATATTGTGGGTTCTCTTTGGAGTATATCTTTTTTATTAATTCGTTTGAGTATTTCAGCAAAATTATAATCTTCTGAAGGTTTGAGTAAAGGAACTGGTTTATTTTTTGCTTTTGTTACTGTAATAAATTGGGTAATAATTTCTCTTTTTGCTTTTGGATCATTTATTTTCTCTATGAGGTCTAAAATGAATGTATCCTTTTTGGATAACATATTACAAGAACATTCTTCTATGTTTTGTTCAGATTCCGATTGTTCTGTGGAGGACATAAAATAATCTTCATCTTCTATTTGTCCTATCAAAAAAGTATCAGTGGAAGTTTCAGAAGAGTTATCATCATATATTTTTATTATGTCATATAGCTTATTTCTAATGGATTCTTCTAAGATTATTGTATCAATTTTCTTTTTTACTTTACATTGGTTTTTATAATGGCCAACTTTTCTGTATTTATAGCATACTGGTAATTTCTTTTTTATATATAAAATAATATATAAAAATATAAAAAATAAAAAATATAAAAAAATATCAAAATATAAAAATATAAAAAATAATAATAAAAGTAGACAGCTATATAAAAATAGAAAAAGTAATAATAAAAGTAGACAGCTATATAAAAATATAAAAAATAATAATAAAAGTAATTTGGTCATTTTAAAAATTTAAAAGTATTCTTGAAAGCTGCATTGTCTTATGCATCTCCTCTAAACTATTGGGGATGCTTGAAAGATTAGTAGCTTTGAAACAATAAGCTTGATCCGTATGTCGAACCCCAAAATGTTATATTTTGTACGCATCTCCAATAAATTAATGTAAAATAATGGGGATGCTTGAAAGTTGGGCTTAATAATAATGAGCTTGGTCCATGTGCAGCCACTGGACATGTCTTACTCCAATTATAACTATTTTGTAGGCATCTCCAGTAAATTACTGTAAAATAATGGGGATGTCTGAAAGTTAGGCTTTATAACAATGAGCGTGATCCATATGCCTACATATATTAAAAGCCAGTGGACATGTTGATTTTGCAGGCATCTCCTGTAAGTTGTGGTAAAATAATGGGGGCATGAGCTTGATATCTATACTATATTATTAAGAGTTAAGAAGTAACATGTGTCACAAAAATAAGAAGGGACTTTAATGTTATAGAAGTTGTAGGACATATTCCTCGTATTTAAGGGATGAGAGAGGCTAAAATTTTGTGTGTAGAATAGAGAGTTTAAGAAGAGAGAGAGAAAATAGAGATTTTAGAAAAAGAAAGATATTGTTTTCATATCTAATTGAGAAATAAGAGAATTTTTTTATCCAACCCTTTCTTAAATTTTTTGCATGAATAGTAGAGAAACGAGGATTTCCACTCCTTCTTAATATTTTATGCGTAAAAAGTATATATTTTAGAAAGAGAGAAAAAGTAGAGATTTTAAGAAGACAGAGAAATTGTTCCAATATCTTAATTAAGAAATAAGAGATTTTTTTTCCCATATTTTGGTTCAAACTTTTTAAACTAAGTACATATCCCAAACTCAAATTCACGATAGAGAACGATATGCTGCATATCTAAGATGATATTCATATCCAAGATGATTTCCCATGCAAACATGATAGCATCCCTCAATGGAAGCATGCCCCATTTTGTTTTCTATTTTTTTGTTTTGAAGTCAAGCTTCATAAAATGGGCACTTACCCCCAAATAATCGAGATATTCATATATATCTAAGATTGTTTTCTATATCCAAGAGGACTCTCCATCCAAGCCTAATAACCTCTCTCAATGGATGCAGATCCCATTTTTTTTAACCCTATTTTTTGATTCATACTTCCTAAAATTGGTATCTATCCCCAGCTCAAATTCGAGAGAGAGATGTTCCCATTCAAGTATGATAATCTCTCTCAATGCATGTACGCCCCAATTTTTTTCATTAGTTAGAATTTTGATGTTGTAGAAGTTAGAAAATCCTAACGGGACCTTTCATGGTGCTTAATTGTGGGAAGAGAAAGAAATGTTGGTACCTATTTTTCTACATCTAAATTTTGCTATTGCAATAATTTTCAGGTTCAATGAAGCTCAACAAAGTCCACATTGATGGTAAGTGATAGTAATCCCTTTTATTTTATTTTTTGTATTTGTTTGTATTTTTTAGGTGTTTATACTGAAGGTAAGTCGTAGTAGTACTTTTTATTTATTTATTGTATTACCTTTGTTTGTATTTTTTTTTTGGTGTTCTTTGTATTTTTTAGGTGTTTATATTGAAGGTAAATCGTAGTAATTCTTTTTATTTATTTTTTGTATTATCTTTGTTTGTATTTTTTTAGGTGTTCTTCCCATTTTATGAAGATTGAGAAACACATTAAACTTTAAAAGTAAGAGAAACATTGCTTTACAATTATTATGAATTTTTAAATTTCATAAGTACTTGTTTTGAATTAATTTGTGTTTACGAAATATAAGCTCACAACTATTGGCTACCACTAATATTTTCCGCTGTCCATTGGACGCTCCCAGGATTTAAGCTCACTGCTTTAGGAATAGGCCAAATTTTTAGGCCCATGAGGCTTTAATTCCTTGATTTAATTGAAAATTTTGAATCCTTAATTACCTAGTGGATTATCTTTTTTGTATCTTGATAATTCCTATAATTCTTCGTGCTTCTTCCTTTCTTTCTTTCGTTTTTTATAATTCTTCATGCTTCTTCCCTTTCTTTCTTTCGTTTCTCTCTTTTTTGTGCTTTCCTTTATGCTTTGAGATTTTTATGTAGGGACGGTAAAATTACTAAATTTTACTTTTCAGTTTATAAATCCGGTAATTTTACTGAAGGTCGTACTCCCCAATTGTTATCATAATTTTCAAATTTTACCTCGATTCGATCTTTCTAACATCGAACAAATTTTTTTTTTTGTTGACATTTTTAGGTGACCCGATATATTATATCGAACTACCTTATTTGTAGGGTGGTCTGATAACTGCAACATCGGACCACCCTATATTTTTAGCCTATCATTCTTTATAGGGCAGTCTGATATCACATACATTGGACTACCATTTTTCATAGTTCTTATGTTCTAGTAGTCCAAGGTGGCAAAAAAAAACTAGTTAAAAAATGGTCTGATGTTCAAAATCTTGGACCGTTTAGAAATGAAAAGATATGGAAAAAGAGGAGTCTGGTATTTGAAACATCAAACTGCCCTATAGACGACGTTAGGTCAAAACATAAGATGGTCCAGTATTGCATTTGTCGGACTGCCCTACAAATGAGGTAGTTCGATATATTCAATATCGGATAGACCTATAAAGGTCAAAGAAAAGAAAAGAAAAGAAATATCAAACTGGGGGAAAATTTGAAAAATAATAATAAAAATGGAGGGAGTATGACTTCCCCGTAAAATTACAGAACTTAATGACGAAAGAGTAAATTTGGTAATTTTACCAAGTACGTTAAAATCTGTTCTACTATTGCTAACTGACTTACTTTTGTGCTCATATGGATGCAGATTGCTTGCAGTGATGCAAGGGTTTTGGAAGAGCAAAAACAAGAAACCCCATTTGCGGAGGACTTTGATCTTGAGCATTGTTTTCGTTACAACAAATTTGGCAAACAAGAGGCCTCATCTATAGAGGACTTTGATCTTGAGCACCATTTCCGTTACAACAAATTTGGCAAACAAGAAACCCATCTACAGAGGACTTTGATCCTGATCAACGCTTTTGTTACAACAAATTTGGCAAACAAAAAAGCCTATCTATAGAGGACTTTGATCCTGAGCATCGCTTTCGTTACAACAAATTAGGCAAACAAAAAACCCCATCTACAGAGGATTTTGATCTTGAGCATCACTTCCGTTACAACAAATTTATCAAACAAGAAACCCCATCTATGGAGGACTTTGATCTTGAGTATCGCTTCCGTTACAACAAATTTGGTAAACAAGAAACCCCATCTACACAGGACTTTGATCCCAAGCATCGCTTCTGTTACAACAAATTTGGCAAACAAGAAACCCCATCTACAGAGGGCTTTGATCTTGAGCATCGCTTCGATTACAACAAATTTGGCAAACAAGAAACCCCATATATAGAAGACTTTGATCCATAGCATCGCTTCCATTACAATAAATTTGACAAAAAAGAAATCCCATTTATAAAGGACTTCATCGAATTTTACGCTATGTTCGAGGTACTTCCATTTATGGATTATTCTTTGGCTCCACATCCTCTTTAGATCTCAGTGCATATGTCAATGTAAATTGGGCAGGTGATCCAGACACATGCCGTTCTACTACAAGATATTGTGTTTCATGGGGTCATCATTAATATCATGGGAGAGCAAGAAATAGGACATTGTTTTCAAGTCAAGCACTAAAGCTGAGTATCGTGTTATATTCTCTGTTGCTAGTAAGATTGTTTAGGTTCGTGCTCCTCTCAATGAATTTGGTATTTCTATCAAATCCCACACATTTACATCCAGATAACCAATGTGCAATTAAGATTGCATCTAATCCAGTTTTTCATGAGTGCACAAAGCATATTAACGTAGATTGTCATTACGTTTGTGATCACTATTTTGATGGTATATTATCTCTCCCTTATATTTCTTCTACTTCTACTGTACAAATGGTTGATATTTTCACGAAATCTCTTACTCGGAGCGACCATGATTTTCTGGTGGACAAGCTAATGCTTTACTCATGTTTGCATTAGCTTGAAGGGGTGTAATAATGTGTATACAAAAATAAAATGTAGAATTTCATTTGTCCTTTGTTGTCAGTGTACATTTGTATAGGGATAATATGATTTACACTAAATTTGTATTTACATATAAACTGTTTTAGGGTTTCATTCCTTGATAATAAGAATTGATCAATATTGTTTGTCTCTAGACTGTTCTTGAGCTCTGCATCTTCTCTAAATCTAATACTTGGAATATGATATGTAAGAGAGCTAGAGTGGTCATGGCTGCTTATATGAGAATGTGAGTCTATTTCTTTGACACTGCTTTGAGGTTCAAATTCATTCATGGGCTTTTGTTTTCCATATCTATTGTAACGGAACGATGTTCAAGATGAAAGTCCTTCGTAGATGGAGTTTCTTATTTGCCAAATTTGTTGTAATGGAAGCGATGCTCAGGATCAAAGTCCTATGTAGATGGCGTTTCTTGTTTGCCATATTTGTAATGGACGAGATGCTCAAGATCAAAGTCCTTTATAGATGGGATTTCTTTTTTGCCAAATTTGTTGTAACGGAAGCGATGCTCTGGATCAAAGTCCTCTGTATATGGGGTTTCTTGTTTGCCAAATTTGTTGTAATCGAAGCGATGCTCAAGATCAAAGCCTTCTGTAGATGGGGTTTCTTGTTTGCCAAATTTGTTGTAACAGAAGCGATGCTCGGGATCAAAGTCCTGTGTAGATGGGGTTTCTTGTTTACCAAATTTGTTGTAACAGAAGCGATACTCAAGATCAAAGTCCTCCATAGATGGGGTTTCTTGTTTGACAAATTTGTTGTAACGGAAGTGATCCTCAAGATCAAAGTCCTCTGTAGATGGGGTTTTTTGTTTGCCTAATTTGTTGTAACGAAAGCGATGCTCAGGATCAAAGTCCTCTGTAGATAGGCTTTCTTGTTTGCCAAATTTGTTGTAACACAAGCGATGATCAGGATCAAAGTCCTCTGTAGATGGGTTTCTTGTTCGCCAAATTTGTTGTAACAGAAGTGGTGCTCAGGATCAAAGTCCTCTATAGATGAGGCCTCTTGTTTGCCAAATTTGTTGTAACGGAAACAATGCTCAGGATCAAAGTGGTTGATGCATGTAAACAGTCTTACACAAACCAATGATTTATCTTGAGAAACAAATTCAAGTGGTTGATGCATGTAAACTTCATCTTGAAGTTTGCCATTAAGGAATGCATCTTTGACATCCATCAGCCATATAAGCTACATATCGATAGGGTATGCGAGCATTGTGATTTGGCCTCCAGAGTAAGGCATGCTGCTGCTGTTTAATTTTTTGCAACTTTCTTCACATATTAGCAACTCCTTTCTAGTTTTTCTCCCTGCTTGGGTATCGTCACGGGACATACTACATATCGAAACGCTCGTCTTGTCGAGAAAAACATGCGTACAAAATTTGAGCACAATCCGACTTGAAACGAGTGAGATATGGGCCCCGAAAGTAACTACCCGTGATTGTAAAAACAACCACCTTTAATGGTGTTTTGATGTAGGGTGGCCACACTGGAATAGTGTGCGACCGACCCCTTTTGGTATTTTACTCATAACTTTATCCTGGGGTGCCCGATTAAGCCGAAACTTAACCCATAGGGGTTTTCGACCATGTCGGATCCAATATTGGTGGTCCCACAGCTATTTGACACATCGAAAATATAGTCATAGTTACAAGGTCCATTTTAGGGTGATAGAGGCCGATTTTGTCGAAATTGTTTCACTACCTGAAATATGTCTAATTGCGATGATACTTGGCAGGTGGCCTTTTGAAGTGTTTACGAAGATCTTAACCAATTATGGGGCCATTCTGAGATAGTCGAAATTTCCACTGTATGTTGAGGCTTTATTAACTTGCTTCCTCTTTATTCTGCACTAGGGACCAAGGTGCTGAAAAATGCGTTCAAATAGCTTGCTCTACCGAATGTTGTGTTTCAAGAGAAGCGATGAGGACAACATTTGGAAAATTTCCTTTGTCTTTAATACTTTTTTCTTTCTAGCCATAGGACCACGTGAACACCGAGGAGATTCACGCAAAGCTGCAACTAGGATACTCATACGTTTGGATGCAATGTACATGTCCATCTGCAGAGACTTTTAGGGGGAGAAGAGACCTTTTGAGGGATCTTGTTGAAGTCCTCACCCTCGTGTAGACTGTTTGTGAATTTGAAGCTGAGGATTTTGTACGGACCTCGTTAGTCAGAATCAGGCTTGTCTGGTAATTTAGTGTCATGGTGAAGGGCATTGTTCCCATTTGGTATGGGTTTCTTTGCCTTTGGATTGATAGCCAAAGAGCCTTTGGTCGGCATTGTTTGTTGCTACATCAGATTGTTCTTTTGACAAGCAGGGTACCTCTGTGGTCCCTTTCATGTCGGGTCCAGTCGGGGGCTTTTTTTTGGCCTGTCCCGAAAGTCTGGGCCTATCAGCTAGGGAGGGATTTTGGCGAGACGGCTTCATGGTGAGGCGCCACCTTGAAGTCTCTAGCAGGTTCTGCCTTGGCTTTGTTAGTTTCTTGCTTTCGTGGGCGTCTTTAGCATTTTTTAATGTATCTGTGACCTCGTGGGAATAATGCTCTTCCTCATGAGACTTGTCTTGCCTTCTTAGCGAGTCTTTTGTCTTTCAAGTCCTTTTTTTAAATGGATTCAGGCTGTCGAAATCTTTTCCTTGAAGCTCATATTTTTGGATCCTGGTATTGTGACACTAAGGATTTTTCTCTTTGAATGTGGGCTGAAGTTGCCTATTGAGGCGAGCGTTGTATCAACCTCTTTATTGGTCAAAGTGTCCTTCACGGATTTTCACTTGAACTTGGGAAGCGATGCCGTAGAGACGGTTTTCACCAACTTCCTTTTTATTTGGGGCTCTTTTACTCATGATCTTTCAGCCATTTCCACCCTTATTCTTCCATTCTTACTCACAGTGCCCTTTCGGGTTTTCACCTTGCCTGATTTTTTTTAAATTTTCACGGAACTCTTTTACTTATGATTTCATGATCATGCCCGTCCATCATTTTTACTCATGGTGTTCCCTTGTCCAAGTATACACCATGCTCGTTATTTTTGTGAAGGCGTGTTTAAGGTCATGCCTTCGGGACTTGTGCGAAGCCTTTTAACGTCATGTAGCTAGGACATGCACTCTAATTCAAAGTCATACAGTTGGACTGTGATGGTGATGAATGGCAGTCTGTGAAGGCCATGTAGTGAGTATGGTGGTGATCTTGACTCATTTTGGGGAGATGATAGGCTCTGTCTCGAACCTCACCTCTTTGTGTGCTTGAGATTCTCAAACTACACCAGTCCAACTCTGAACTAGCCAGTCAAACCGGAAGCAGACACTGGTGGATTCGGTTTTGGCGGTCAAGATGAGTATGTTTAAAAACAAAACAAAAAATATAAAATCTCAAAAAATAAAGGATTAGTTTGTAATGTATTTTTGAATGTTTTTTTATCATTTTGGCAACTATTGGAATGTGTTTTGGCCATAAATACTTATTTTCACATATTTCCATCTTTTTTGAAAATACCCATGGGCAAAATATTCGATTATTTGAAATCCATTTTTTTCTCTACTTTTCAACTTCATTTGGATGTGCTTTGTTTAAACGTGCTTGACCTGCCCGATTAGCCGATTTACCGGTTACTCGGACCCGACCCTTGGCTGGTTTCCAAGGCCAGTTCGATTTTTCTAACACTGCTTGAGAATATAGAAGAATTCTTGACTATCAACAGTTTCTAACACTGCTTGAGAATATAGAAGAATACTTGACTATCCACAGCACAAGATGCCTGTTTTACTATCTAAATTTGCAGGCCAAAAAAGAAACGAAGAAGAAGAAAATAAAAAGACAAAAAAAAAGAAACTAATTCAAGCTGTCTCTAAATGATGGTACATCAGATTACAGAGAAATTCTAAACACAAGAGGGAACTTGATCTAGTTGGTGAGTTGATTTGTAATCTTAGATCTTAACGTATGTGTTTGCTGCCTTTGAGACGTTTCCAGTTCTCTCTAGCTCTCCCACGAGCAATAATTTTTCACATACATGGTTAAGAGCTGCTAGAATATAATTATCGTTATCTCCACATACTCATATCCCCACAATTCAACATTGACCTCCTCATAATCAATTCCACATGCTTCACATGAATAACAGGTGAGACGTCTCGTTCTTTGTATCAGTGATTCAAAAAATGCAGGGTCAGCAAGGAGTGCAACTCCATTCCGGTTCTGCAAGTATATAAGAAAACGATCGAGATTAGAAGGGAACCGACAATTTTGCACAGTGAAACAACGTTTTTCTACAATAAATTGACGGCCTGAAATGACGATTCACTGAATATAAAATGATGTTTTTTATATTTGGTTTGGGTGATGTCAGATCCTATTTGGTTGACATCACACCTTTCCTAATAACTAAAAATATCTATATTTAAAAAAATGATCCATGTGCAAAATAAAAGTCTAAAAATATCCAAATTGGTTGAGTACAATAATAAATTATGTCATACTATGTATACCTCAACATAACCTTTTTAATAATTGTTGTGTCGGAACAATATTCCAGTTCTGCATTTTTTTCCCGATTAAGAGAAGTTAATATAACGCTCGTGTGCACAGCAGGTGTATTTTAGTAGTGCCTAGAAAGTGGGTATCTCAAAATTTAAAGATTTCATTGATACGTCTTTCATTGACTAAGGGCATATGAGATTTTGTTAAGATTTTCACTTTTAAAATATATGTTTTTAATTTGCAACATGAGAATTAGATAATATTATTTCATTATCATTTTCAAATCATTAGGATTTCACTGCTTTCAGGACTAATGGCATATAAGAAACCAAAAACAGTTCCATAGGGCAATTGTGCCAAATAATAAGTTAAAGCAATAGAAAGAAAGTCCGACGGGCGAGAGCGCCAAACGGTAGCCTCCGACCGAGATGTAGCCCATTTAGCAACTGCATCGTCTACCATGTTAACCTCCTGTTCCATTGCTGAAAAAGGGGCCTCCTGTTCCACCGATGAGATTGTCCGACTGTAGCTCGACGCGCTGCAATGGCTCGGTATGAAAGAGGAAAAGCTTTGTACATGTGCACTGCCTGAGCGGTACGAGATTTTGCCTATTTTAAATACATTTTTTAATTTAGGACCCAAGATTTGACAAGTAGTATTTAATGTGAGCCGTTAGACTTTTATACAACCTCAGCTGTGATTATTTGTTCGCTATATTTTATTTTATTTTCATTTTATTTATTTATTTATATATATATATTATATATATATATCGATAAAATTATGTAGGATGGAACATGAGATGTAATACGATGAAAAACCAGCTACTACTGCTTTGACTTCGATTAGTTATATTTGCACTGCTCAAAAACACAACAAAAGATATTTGTTTTGAAACTGCAACACCCTCCAGTTGATCTTGACCTTAGATATATGGATATGGAAAAAGGTTAATTTCAAGTTTTGAAGATAATGCATCTTGTAATGTAAAATCTGGATCCCCCATTTTCAAAATTTTAAAGCTTTTACAGGTGTACTCGATTTGGGGCTTTAAATTTCACTATTTCAAACGAAAACAATTTTTAGGCTACCACAAAGTATTCTTGCACCAAAACAAAATCTTTTCGCTTACTTTTAGATGCGCGCCTTGGATTGTTTAAAGTTGACATACGAATCTCAACCCTAATTTATTCATTTTCTTTTTTCTTTTTTAAATTTGTTAACGATGGATGACAAGATCTAACTGTGGAAGACCTTAAGATCCCGTTTTTTATTTTTTTTGAAAAAGATCTTCTCATAATTGCTACAAGTACCCTTAAATTTATGATAAAAAAAGCTCCTCTTCTACCTAAGGGAGCTAGTGCACAGTATGCTCCCATGCAAGCGTACTATTTAGGCTAATCTATTTTATTCAAAATTGATTCTTATCTCTAAGGATTCGTATCCCGAATCCCAACAATAATTACTCTTCTCTATATTCAAATCCCCTTGTGCTCCAAATGAATATGAGGATTTGACATTTTTATTTTCATTTGTATCTATAGTTTGTTTGGAAGCACCAGAAAATAGTAATAAAAATAAGGTGGGTCCAAAGTAAACATCAACAAGTTGAAAAAAAAAGACAAAAAAAAGAAGGAAGATGACATCAAACCTTCAACCATCAACCAGGAACTCTCATTCACCATACTCGATTAGCCGGTTTACTGGTTAAACGGACCCGACCCTTGGCCGGTTTCCGATGCCAGTTTGATTTTTCTAACGCTGCTCGAGAACATTGAAGAATTCTTGACTATCAACAGCACAAGATGCAT